TATTTTATCCCTTATCAGTAAAAAATTAGACAAACCAATTCAATGAAGAAGAAGCTCGATCAAGGACTATGAAAACCAACTGAAGTTAAAGAGACCACAAAGCTGACCTTTAAAGAATGCAGACTACTGCACCCAGAAAACGATGGGCATTAGCCAGGGTTCTAGGGACACCTAAATGACGTCTTTTCGAATTTCAAAATGCTGATCTTTTTACCGACTTTGTATTTTGGCCTTTACTTTGTTCTCAAAAATTGACAATGGAGATATGAGAGAAGATAAATAGGCTTGATCTCATGTGCCATCACATCTGCTAGGTCAATAACGTTGACAGCTTAATTTTATTATCTTGGTGAAAAAAAAAAACATATATATTAATCATGTTTTGTTAATAAAGTTTAATGTTAACAATGAACCTGCTTCACTTTTTAAATTTCATTTAAATTAAAGTTAAATAGTATCAAATATTTAAGAAAAAACTTGTATTAAATAAAATTTAATAACTAATTTTACGGTTGATTGTGTCGTAAGTTAATTGACAAAAAAAAATGTTTTGAGATTGGCATGAGTAGTCTACGCCCTAGAGTTGACTAAAGCAATTTTATATTGAAGAAATGATTATAACGAGCTTAACCATTAACTAAATCCAGAATTCAAATAGTAAAAAGTACAAAACATGTAGAGTTAGTTTTGTAATTTTTGAACCGACTTTTAAATTCAATGGTTTGACCTTAAGTCTTAAGTGTTTAGATGAGGTAATCGAAATTTCGAGTCCTACCACCGTCGTGAACTTCACCAATAAATGGTTTGATGATCGCACACCTCATTTGAAGAGATGAAATGTTCACTCGGTTTAGAGATCGAATCTCCATTTACTAACAACTAATTCATACTAATTTTCTAACCATTACTCTTGTAAAAAAAAAAATTTTGTAATTCTAGATCCTCATGAACGAGGCAAATTTTCACCCAAGAAAAAAAAAAGTACGAGGCAAGTGCCACCACTTGCTTACTGGTTTCCTCTTCTCCTCTTTTTTTTTTTTATTATTATTATTATTAGAAAAAAAAAGTAAAAATTGGAATGTTTTGGTAGTTTAAATGCTAAACTCCTTGTAAATTATTCAAATATTCTTATAGTATATTTGATTTAAAAGAAAAAAAAAAGAGGAAAGAATTTTTTGAAAGAAACTGTAACATATTATTAATATGTATAAATTATCAATATGTCATAATAAATTTTAAGATTATTAAT